GGAGAGGATGAAGTTAAAGTCTTCCAGTGCACACGCCTTTTAATTGTTGTGATACTGGTTGATGGTTCAGTTGATACTGCATTTATCCAGGCTCTCAGGAACTGGCAAATCCTGTGGCTGCCTTACTTTTTATGTTCAGTTCATATCTCCATGTGTATTTTCTTGGCTTCAGAGTACACTCATGGAGCTTGTCTCAGTTTGCTTTTAATAATTACTACTTCTCTTACAGATTAATTATTCAACAGAAGTGGATGATGACTAGTGCTAGTAGACAATAGTATCTGGTGTTTTAATGAGGGTGATGGCTCCAATTTGCTTAGAGTTTTGTACTGGGAGATAAGTAGCAAAGGGATAGGTACAGAGGGCATACACTGACCACAGAGTTCAGATGAACATTCCTACCAAGCTCACCTCGAAGTTCTGCTAAAACATTTGGGCAGATACTGATAGTACCTAACAGGAAGGCTGAGCTACCAGCTTCATGCAACCTGTCAACTTTGCCAAAGTTTTGCTCACACACCTGACTGAGAGAGATCAGTAGCATACTGAGCCACCAGGCAGGCAAGCCCTTGAGGTAGAATTTGCCACTTAACAACCTGTTTAAAAAGCAATAAAAATTGGGTGGATAGGCATGATACCAGCCCAAGAGGCTTGCTCTTTTGCATCTCCTGTTGAATGTACAAATGAAATCCTAAGCCTACAGATTCATCAGTTTGAAGAGCAGGAAAGGGAAGCAAATTAAAATACATTAATTAGTTGTGAAGTGACCTTACCTATTAAGGTATGAAATATAGCAGCTACAGCTCCTGCCACAACCATGCACAAAACTGCTTTGGTCCTGTCTCGCTTGCTGTTCACAAACACCAGACCCACATTTTTGAAGTCACTCATTGGACCCGTGAAGAACTTCATCAGGGAGTATGCCAGCCCATAGCTGGCCAGCATTTCCACAGCATCTTCTTTGACAGCAGCGATGCCCCTGTTTAAGGCCTGTTGAAACACAGAAAGAGAAAATAATGTAGCATAGGTGGAAGTGTATAAGAAGCAACGTTCTGCACCCAGTTTCTGAAGGAACAAGCAAATTCAGCTCTCATTGTTTCACCCCAAGTTGGACCTTATTTCTCTGAGTTCAGCAGCACTTAACTTGCAACTGTGACTCCGAAAACTGCCTCATTTTGTATGGACAGTAAGTTCAAGAAAAGTAGACTTGAAGATAAACTGTGTTTTAGGATCTAAGGTAAATATCTGTTTCTGAAGTATAGAATGGAAATCCTGTTACAGTAGAAGTCAATCTCTTTAGAGTAATTTTGTTTTACCTGATAGCAATAATGGATGATACAAGACCATTTAAATGCCACTTTGAGGCCTCAGCCCTGAACTGAACAAAGCACAGTCCTTGCAGGTCATCTGTACAGGTAAAAACTCGGACATTATCACATGCTGAAATTTCAGCAGCTCAAACTTTTTTTTAGGAATATAAGCTTTTCACCACATCTCATATTAACTTTTGTGAGTAGCTAGTACTATCCTATGATGTTTTTTACAAAACTAGGCCAAAAATGCACAGGACTAAACATATCTTCTCCCATCATGTATTTCATAAGGTTCTGATCCTATATGAATTTATAACTCCTTGTAGCCTATTTTAAAAGACATATCGCACATGTATTTCAAGACATACTAAGGTTCAACTAACCTACTAATTCATTCAAGGTCTGTATCTAGGAAATGTCTGCCAATGAATCACGGAGAATTAGATGGATTATTTTTGTAACTAAGGTGAACGACAGAAAAAATGTGTAACATTGCTTTAGATTCCAGCTTGCACCAAAACACTTCTAAAATACTGAATATAAATGACAGAATGACAAATTTTATCTGCAGGGTGACAGCATCAATCATCTAAATACACTCAGCAAACTGTTAAAACAAGATTAGCTTCAAAAAGCGTGAAGGATGAAATGCGACTTGTCTTCACAAGTATTTAGTTCCTGTGGGTTACAGCTGATGTGTGCTGACAGACCATGGCAATTATGCCAACCAGGAACATCTCACCAAACCCACCTTCTAAATCTCAAGTCTATCTACTTCTACAGCAGTTCTAATACCACTTCTTCTGAATGAACAAACCATCACAATTCTCATCAGGTAATTGTAATGAAGTCTTTTAATTTAAAATGTCTTTCTGTTGCAGTCTTTTGATGTGTTTTTTTTTCCCTTCCAAAGAGCATATAAACAAGCAAATCCCATTGACTTCAAACAAAATCTCACCCCATAGCAGAAATGAGCATTAGTTTTACATTTGGGGAAGAACAACACCATGTCCCAGTACAGGTTGGGGGCTGAACTGCTGGAGAGTAGTGTAGGTGAAAGAGACCTGGGGGTCCTGGTAGACAGGAGGATGACCATGAGCCAGCAATGTGCCCTTGTGGCCAAGAAGGCCAATGGCATCCTGGGGTGCATTAGAAAGGGTGTGGTTAGTAGGTCAAGAGAGGTTCTCCTCCCCCTCTATTCTGCATTGGTGAGGCCACATCTGGAGTATTGTGTCCAGTTCTGGGCCCCTCAGTTCAAAAAGGACAGGGAACTGCTCGAAAGAGTCCAGCGCAGAGCTACTAAGATGATTAAGGGAGTGGAACATCTCCCTGATGAGGAAAGGCTGAGGGAGCTGGGTCTCTTTAGCTTGGAGAAAAGAAGACTGAGGGGTGACCTCATCAATGTTTACAAATATGTAAGGGGTGAGTGTCAGGGGGACGGAGTTAGGCTTTTCTCAGTGATGACCAGTGATAGGACAAGGGGTAATGGGTGTAAATTGGAGCATAGGAGGTTCAAGGTGAATATCCGAAAAAAATTTTTTACTGTAAGAGTGACAGAGCACTGGAACAGGCTGCCCAGGGAGGTTGTGGAGTCTCCCTCACTGGAGACATTCAAAACCCACCTGGATGAGTTCCTGTGTGATGTACTCTAGGTGACCCTGCTCTGGCAGGGGGGTGGGACTAGATGATCTCTCGAGGTCCCTTCCAGCCCCTAAGATTCTATGATTATTTGCTACTGTTCTTTTCCACTCTTTCTGTGAAATGTGCTTTATTTTTGAAACTAAAGCTGAAGTGTCAACATAACAAAAAGCTGTAGAAAATAGCAACTTCTCCATCCTTGATATCTGGCAAATCTCACTCCTGCAATGTGCTCTGACCTGAACACCTGAGGTTACAAATATTTTCAATTGTCTTGCTCCAATTTGTCCCTTCCTGAAAATGCTATGTTAGATATGGAATATCTGCAGCTGCTACATGCAACTTTTTCTAGGTTATAGATTAAATTCCATATAGTGCATCGAGAAGACCTAAAATTACACTTAATTTACAGATGCTAAAGCCACTAGTAGATGCATAAAGCTGTACTCAAAAAGCTTTTGGAAAACATTTTGGCTTCTGAAATTAGCTGCTGCTTGTGATGATGCTTGTGATGATGTAATCAGTATCAAGGCGTATAGAGAGCTATAATATTTTCAATTGAACTTTCTAAAGATGCTGAATCTCCCTGCTGCTGTTGTTAGTAATAGCCTTAGATTATGCCATATAGAGGGTTCCTTGCTCATGGCTTTCCTCCCTTCTTTTGTTAACAGTGAAGTACTTTTGGCAGCTTCAACCTAAAGAGAAATGGCTAACCAGTTTCAGATAGTCTAGTTTAAAAGATTCTTGTCACATGTAAACAGCTGAATTATTTCCAGCACAGTTTCACAAGCACAAGTACTTCCTTCCTGGTTTGGACAACTACAGAATACCAGTCTGTGGAGGATAGAAATCTGCTTCTGACAAGGTCCCCGGGATAAACATGGCTTTAAGAAATCAGATTCTGTCAAGATGCATGACACTATGATCCCTCTGTAGAGAGACAAATCTATGTACAAGGTAAACTGGCAAAATGCAAAAGGAATTTTTGTAAGAGGTATGTTGCCATTAATTTATACTGCTGTGGAATGGTTTTCTGCCATGATGAAATACTCTGGAGGTTAGCCCTGAAAAAATAATCCTCCTAAGTGCTTCTCTGAAAAATTCTCAGGAAAGGAACAGTTAATTGGGCTCTATACGGATGGTTTAGCTTTTGTGGCTTTCTTTTTTTCTTTTTCACATTAAGATGAAATGTGAAAGGTGGTTCATCCTCAACTTCCAAACACTACATGAGAACTTGTGTAGCTATTATACTTCATGTGTGTTAGAATGTTTTTGCTGCTGAAGCTGCTGATACCATATTTGATAACCTTATATACACAAGAATTGCCAGATACTTGATAAAGCTGCTTTGGGTGCAAGATGAAAGACAAAGGCAATTAATCTTCCATGGCATGCCAGCCATGCAGTTGATAATCTTCTAGTCCAATTTCCTGTTAGATTTCCAATTAAGTCTCTCATAAAGGAAGAAAAATGTAAATCAGGATAAAGTCTTATTTTTTTATCTGACTCTATTTTGTACTCCTCTCGTATGAACAAAAACAGAAAACAAAATTTCATCAGTGGCATCTGTATTCTGTGTTTTTTTCACACACAGCAGAACATGTATCTACAAAGATTTCTGAAGCATGTCAAGGAAATTACACAGAACTAGGCAGTAATAATGACACTACTTAATATGAGAAGTTAGCTTGACCATGCAGATTTCAGATGCCATCCTACTTTCAGCTGGTTTGTTCACATCAAACATGGAGAACTAGAAATTCAGATGCTGGAAGAAAGACTATTGGTGATGGCAACCTCTCCTGAGATTTTAAGGAACAGCTAACTTAATATGGTAGTAGGTGAAAATGTCACCGTACATCACTATTTAAACATGATTAAAACAAAGCCACTGATATGGTTGACCTTTCTTTTAGAAATAACAGAAAAAAGCACACAATACTTTCAGGTTGAGCATGATCAGAATAAGTACATGATGAGGTTACTTGAAGTAAGTCATATTCCTAAAACATTTATCAAAAAGGCAAGAACCAAGATCTGCAGCTACTTCTGTGCCATGCCTTTTGTAACACCTTACATTACCACTAGAAAGATGAACTCTTTACTAGAGGACATAGTAACAACCCCTTGAGTCTTCTTTTATGAATAATTTTGTGCTGTCTCTGATGTTCACTAAAGTCAGAGCCACTAGCATTTTAAAATTCCCATCCAAAAGACTCAAGTCGGAGGAATACCAAATAATACACTTAAGAGACTCAAAGCCAGTAACGACATCTTTAAAACTGGGTACTGCAGCTGGCTTTAGCCTCATAGAAGGAGCATATGAGACCTCTATCAAATCCAACAAACATTTGCATGCAAAGGCAGTGATTTAAAAAGCAACAATTCTGAGATAAAATGTCGTCTAGCTTGTCCTATTTTGCATGATCTTTCAGCACTAGTCCCGAACATTGGCAGAAAAGGTCTGCTTCCAGTCTACAGCTACAAACCTCTGTCGCTAAAAATCCAAAGTCTGTCTCTTAAGCTGGTATAGAGTTTAACCATTTCTCACAAGATCCTCCTCTCCTAGTGACTAGTGGATGACTGATGTTTTATTTTGTATTGGAGTAGACATATAAAAGCACTAAAAAAAATCCACTGAGAAAGCTGCGCCTATTGTATGATTTTCTTCTGCTTTCCAAGTTGTTTTATTATCTACTTACTGCATAGAATTTCAATAGTCTGTATCTAACTAAAAGGGCATATTTTCCACTTCATTTGAAGTTAACCATTGACCACGTGGTCAGTACTTGACCAGTGCATGTGTTTCAAAGAAGAACAAGTAAAATCCAAACCATGTCATTCTTATCAGTCCTCAATTTTGTTTATCCTGGAAAAGCAGACTGTGACCTAGTAGAAGCTGGCATGTTCCTATAGCTCGTTTGAAGCTGGGATTCTTCCTGAGGTGTTTTCCAAGTCTGTTCTAGCTAGTTACCTATCTAAGGGCGACATCAAAAGCCTGCTCAATCTGGCAGTAACCTGGCCAAATGTATATTCAGCTCAGCAAACATTTGTAACATGTTCCCCCTCCCCCTACATTTCTTCCTATCTGCCTTCCCCTAAAATAAATGGAAG